ACCACCTTGGCTTTCTACCTCTATAGGACCCATAAGATCCATATGTACAAGTTCAAAACAAATGGTGGTACCAACGGGTTGTAACACTTTGTGTGGTACTCTAGTTTGCTTTCCCTTCTGGCACATTCCGCATATAGGGATGTCCTTGATCTTGAGATCTGGAATTCCTCTTATGGCATTGTAGTTGTTGAGCAGCATCAGATTTTTGAAGTTTGTGTGCCCTAGTTTCTGGTGCCACAGCTCTACTTCACTTACTCTTGAGCTCTTGCATGAGATGGTGTCACATGTTTCATAACAATTATCTATTGACCTAGACCCTGTCAGTACACAATGATTTATATTATCAAACACAGAACACCAGTATTTATCAAATTTAACACGCAGATCATCATCACACAATTTACTAATACTGATGAGATTTGACCCCAATCCTTCAACATGTAAGGCATTTGAAAGTTTTGGAAGTCCTTCAAGACTGAGTGTTCCACGTCCAACCACTTTGCCTTTAGCTCCTCCTCCATAGGTTACACGTCCTCCATTGAGTGTATAGTAGTTTGATAGAAACTCTTTAGTTCCAGTCATGTGCCTAGAGCATCCACTATCAAAGTACCATGAACCTGAAATGTTAGCATTTAAAGAAGTGTATACTGCTTTGCACATAAGAGGGAGTCCATATTCTACACTCCTTTTTGGTAAATTCTACCTTTTTCTTGGAGGTGTTCCCTGGAGTGCTGTGACTCATCCTGTACAACATTTTGTCACTACTTAGTTTCTCACACAATGGACGGGTATGTCCTGGTGAGAAACAGTCATGACAAATGTATCCCCTTATTCTGGACTCTGAAGTGGTGACTGTGGAATTTCTGCATTCTTTTCCATTTGAACCCTTCTCTTTTACAAAGACAATTTCTTTCTTCTTTACTGGCTTGTGTTTCTTCACTTGTTTGTTGAACCCTAGACCTTCATTCTTGTTGTACTTCTCCAGTGACACAATCTCTTCGAGTTTAGTTGTGCCGGTATTCATCCTCTTGATTGCTAGAGTTGCTTCTTTGAGTTCATCTTTCACCTTTGCCAGTTCAAGATCCTTCTTGGTGATACCAACCTCCAAATGTGTGATTGTTTCTTTAAGGGAAGAATTTTCCTTGTTGGCTGCATCTAGAGCTTGAGTCTTCTTCTCCAAGTCACAGAACAATCTCTTACACATTTCTTCCTCATCACTAACTGCTTCATTACTGGATTCTGCTGCATTCAAAGAAATAGAGTTTAAACATGTATAATGATCAGTATTTAACTCAGAAATTTCAGTTACTGAAAGTGTTTCAGAAAGTGTTGCAGCATCCAGAGAAACTCCTTGTGATTCTGTTTCAGAGGCACTTCCAGTGAGATATCTGACAGAAAGAGCTTGTTTAGAGGATTGTTGTTCCTCTGTCTGTTCAGGTTGTTCTTCCTCCTCATCACTGACAGCACAAATCAAACTCATTCCTCTTCTTCTCAAAGTATTTGCACATTCATTAGCATAATGTCCAAATCCTGAACAGGCCCTGCATTTAATATGATCCAAGTTAGGTGGTTCAGAATTTGAACGAATAAATGAAGAATTTTTTGAAGTGTTTTGAGAAGATGTTTGAGGAAATGTTCTCTGTGGAATAGATCTGTTCCGGGGCTGAGTTTGTCGATTTTGTGGAGAGCCATCTGGAAATAACTGTCTGGGCTTGATTCCACTTCGTCTGTATGCCCTATTGAATTTCTGAATCTGAAATGCCACATTGTTGAGACATTCCTCTGCATCATCATCATACTCCGTAGCAACTTCTTTCTTTTCTAGTTCTGCCTGGAGTGCATTTGATAGATCGTCTACTATCCACCGTAATTCTGGTGTTGGAAATACATCCCCATCTGCATATGTGATAGTTGGTGGCTTCCATCCAGTAAGAATAGATCTCCAGGCTTTCTCATCAATGGCTTTGATGTACGCCCTCATCTTGACTTTCCAGTAGGTGTAGTTTGTGCCATCAAGTACAGGAGGTCGCACAAAAGCAGTCATCTGAGTATCCATCACGAATTCGTTTCTGAAAAAATAGGAACAAATACTTAGTATACGTCAAGTGTTGGCTCTTGATGCCAATTGAAAGAATTTATGGTCCCGAATTCGTTTAACACAGAAGTGTTATCTTAAGTGTTATGACACTTGAACAACACATGCAGCGGAAATATAAAGATAAAAGAACAATACTCAGAATTAAAAATGTTCACAAGTAAAGACTTGTGAACTTGCCCTTCACAGGACGGAAAAATATATTAAAATCAGTATTCCAAGAATACAAACAGAAGAGGTGCGAAAACTTCTTCCTTATGAATGAATCATTCTCATGATCATTCTTACATTCAAATCTAGATATAAAAAGAAAAATATTAAAAATTCTAGATTTCAAAGATGTACTCGTGAGGAGTACGTAAAGAACTTATGAATGAATCACTATCTTGATCATTCTTACAACCAAGTCTAGAAACATATATACTAAACAATCTAGACTACAAAGAATGTACTTATGAAAAGTACGTAAAGAATGTACTCATAAGGAGTACGTAAAGATTGTACTCATGAGGAGTACAAACGACCGATTCTAAAACCACTCTAAAACACTCATGTATTCTTTTCAGCTCTCGGTTTTTTATTTCGTAGAATCGATAAAAATCATTGAGTATTGAAATCGGTATTTATAGACATTTCAAGCTTCCACTCCTCAGCCCATGATCTGCAAGAAAACCAACCACAAGAGCACTCAAGAAAATGGGTTAGTGGGTTAGTTAGGAAGTTAGAATAAAATCCACAATTAAATCCACTAAGCACTACTTAGCCCACTAAGCACTATACTTAACCCACTAAGCACTATACTTAACCCACTAAGCACTACTTATTCCATAACTAAAATTTAGTTTAAAAAATAAGAAAGTTAAAAACACAATGTGGAAACAATCCACGTGTTTCAGGGTCAAAACTGCAATTTCCGAAAAATCTCTCATTTCTAAAGTTTGAATCTGTTTTTCCAGCAAGTATTAAATGGGGAAGAGTTTTCTTTACAAAAGTTTTCAAAGTAATCGAGGTTATATTAAAGGTTTTGATTTTTAACAGAAAAATGGAATTTTTGAGTTTTTAATTTCAAGAAAATTCGAAACTTTGTGAAAATTTAAAATAATTTCAGAATCTGAAATTTGGTTCAGTTAGGAGTTCTAGGATTTAATTTGGGAATGTTTGGAATTAGTTTGCTATTATTTCGAAATTAGGACATTTGCATGTCATTTATTATGTTTTGTGCTTTTATTTTCATGTCTTTGATTTAATGGCTATGAATGATGAGATTTGAGATGTTGTACTTTTAATTGCTGCTTGGATGTGGATTAATTGCTGTGAGAATTTATTGAAATGGATTATTACCTAGATGTGGTAATAAGTTCATTAAATGAAAGGTGAAAAATGGGTGCTTGCTTTACAAGCATGGTTTAATATTAAATGGTGATGTTTTAATGTGTGGCTTTGTGTGTGTGGGATGAATGCGTGTTTGTGTGTGCTGATTGTGTATGTGGTGTGTGCCGTGTGTGGTTGTGTGTTTTTATGTGTGTGAATTTGGGGATTTTTGCCCAAATTATAAATATGTGGTAAATTGTGATATTTGTGTGATTTTGTGGCACTTGATTGATGTTTGTGATGTTATGTGTGGGTCATAAGCATGATTTCGAAAAATTGCATTTCATTATTTTGAAAATTGAAAGATTAATGGAATGCTTAGTGAATAAACGGGATACGGTGGGCTGGTATCCGATTAAGATGAAATACGTGGTTTGATTCCACAATAGAACGGGCTCGAAACGCTTTATAGTTTATTGCTATGCACAAAAGTTAGTGCTTAGTGAATAAACGGGATACGGTGGGCCGGTATCCAACTAGGATGAAATACGTTGTTTAAACAGAACGGGCTCGAAACGCTTTATAGTTTATTGCTAGGCACAGAAATTAATCTTTCACGGATCCGATAAACGAAAAATGTTTTTTACACGATTTTCATAAAAATTGCATTTTAGTCGTTTTGCATAAGTACGTGTTTATGTGTGAATAACGTGTTTTCGTGAACTATGTGATTAATCGTTTGTCTTGTGTGAGTAAGGGTAACTATATATATATTATATATTATATGTAACGTATTTTCAAAGTTCGATATTTCATCGGATTTCTTACTGAGCTTTATAGCTCATATGCCTTTTAATTGCAGGTAATAGTAATAGTAACCCTCCACCGGAATAGATTGAGTAGCGGATCGAGGTCTTGCCCGGGATGTCTGGAAGTTGTACGAGGACCTATGAACGATGTTAAAGTATTTTGGTTTTGGTGATGTAATATTAAATTTAAGTATTTCCCTTTTCGGATCTTTCGAACTCGAATCCGGTATGGATCGTACTTGACTTTTATTACAAAATAATCCTTTTAGTAAACTTGTTATTTTCACGTCTCACTAGTGATTCTCAAATTATTCACCAAAATACCTCTTCAAAACTTTGATTTCTTTTCGAACCAAAAATCGATAGTTGATATGTAGCACTCGAACGAAATTCCTCCTAAGAAAGTTTTTTCGAAAATCACAAAATGTTTTTAATGTCCTAAGGAAGTAAAATTTTTATAATTTCATTTTAGTCCCATTCCAAAGTTTTAAAAATTGCAAAGAGATCCTTTTGCTTCCGCTAGATAAATGAATATTCCGATAAACCGGTTCGATTTATCGCCCGATAAGAAGGGGGGTGCTACAAAAATAGTTTATAAATAAATAAAAACTTATATATGCTTGTATAGCATATATATAAATATACCCCAATACTTTTAATATTTACACGTTTTCCCCCAAGTTCCCGTAACCCTATTTTCGGGACATGCCGTTTTCCCGTATCGTTGTTTCTGTGCCTGTGCTACATAGTTAAAACTAAATGTAACTTTCTGCACATTCAAAACAAAACCTAATCAAAGATAATTCACAGTGGCATGATTTAATTCAATATATATTTTCACCAAAATGTGAATAAATCAAGCACTAAAAGAGTAATCAAATCACGGGTTAATAGGACTGATAAATATTACAACAAATTTCATCAAATCTAATTGACTTCTTCTTCTTCTTGAACTCCATCACTAAATTCCCACTCTCTATTCCTCCATCCACGATTCTTGACGAGGAATTTATAGTAACTCTTTTGTATCGATCTCGTCCGTTCATCCACTCCTTGTAATCCCATTCGACTCGCTAACCAATCCGCATAATCAAACTGTTGACAAAACCAACGCTCGAGATTAGCCATCATAACAACTTTAACCCAATATAATCGAGTTTATTGCATTTCATACCCCTGTGTTATATCAAACCGCTAAAAAATTTCATATGTTATTAATATTAGCAAAAAAAACCCTTGCAATTACTTTTTTTTGGCAAACAACGCCCTAAATTGTGATTTTTTACTTTTTAGGGGTAGTTTGCGAATCATAGGGGATTTTTTGCTAATAAAATAACACGAGGGATTGTTGAATGCAATAAACCCCGAAAAAAAAGACGAACCTCATGACCAAGGCTATGAGTATGGTGTTTCGGTACTCCTTTCTCAACCATATTCCGGTAGTATTCTCGAGTATCGGCCAACATTTCCTCCTCGGATGGTAGAGAGGTCTTTCCGGATAAAACACGCGCTATCCACTTAGCTTGTAAATCATATATAGCTAGTACGGGAGCCTGCGTTTATAATCGAATAAGCTAATTTAAGTTCGCTTATAATACTAAATTATATATGTTTAAAAAGAAATTAGCTAACCGCAAAATATGGAAGACCGACGAAGGAAAGGCCGGGGGCGAGTTTTGGAGGGAAGATGTGTTTGTAAAGAGGTCCCACGCGGTTGTCATCAACCGTCACAATTCCATCGGTTTTCAAGAATGGGAAATCGTATTTGAACCTAGGAAAATTTCGTATAAATGTATTCAATAGTTCGGTGAATGTGAAAAAAAAATCGAAACTAGGAACTTGAGGGGTAGTTTGGCGATCATAATTCATACCCTGTACAGTGGAAGATGATATCTGCGTAAACAGAGGCACCATCCTCGAACATAACTTCTCCATTTCCATCGACACGATTGATCTGCATGGAGCGTGATTATTTTATTATTTTTATATTGATGATCAACGTCGGGTGAAATTTGTGCTATTACCTCCGAGTGTTGCCACATATTATCGGCAAAATCCAACTTGGAAACTTCAACGTTCGGGGATCTTGAAGAAACATGAACTTCTTTGGCTACTTTGGAAATTTCCCGAGAAATATCTTTTGCGCTCGGTCCACTTCCAATTACCACCACAATCTACATTACCACACATACAATCAGAACAAATCGAGAGTTATGCATTTTCTATACCTCGATTTTCCAGTGAAGAATTGATCCGAAAAAAAATATGGAAAAATCTATGGTGGCTAATCACCTGATCCCGAAATGGCTCGGGGACTCGATAATTGTGACTGTGCACCTGTTTTCCAGGCCATATTTCTAAGCCTTGCCAATTATGAAACGAAAAAAAAAAAAAAAAAAAAAAAAAGTTCATTTGACTAAACACAAATACTATATTTCAAATTTATGATTGAAATCATAAGATGAACTGTATGGTATACCTGGAACATCAGCCAATTTCGGTTGAGTATGATGACCATTACAAACAACTACTGCATCAAAGATCTCGTTCGAGCTCAAATCATTCGCTCTCGACTCAACAACCCATTGATCGTTCCTCGAGTCAACTCGGTCGACTCTTACAACCTCGGTCTCGAACCTTATCATCTCAGCCAATCCAAATTCAACCACAAACTCATTCAAAAACTCGAGCACCTCCTCATGACTAGGAAAAGTCGTCGAATCACCGTACTTTCTAGTTACGAACGGATAATCGGAAAACCCCATAAGCTGCCTAGGGAGATTAGTGCAGAGCGAAAGGTATAAGCTACCATGTACAATTTCTCTGTTTGGATCAAGACTTAATGGATCGGATTCGATTTTAGGATCGTAAACCCACGTGCCGCCAAGATTGTCTGATTTTTCGAAAACAACAACTTGTTCAAAACCTTCACTTTTGAGGGCTCGGGCAGTGGCCAGGCCCGACACACCGGCTCCGATCACCGCCACCTTCAGAAACCGTGCCATTTTCCTTCTTTTTTTCTTTTGGAGAGAGTTGACTGAATTTTCTTGTTGTTTACTTAGTGTAAAAGATCAAATGAAATTATAACAATTAACAATTATACAAGATCGCATGAGTCTAATATTATATATTAAAAAAAATTGTAAAAACAATTAACAATTAAAAGAGACTTTAACAATTACCAGCGGTGAAAAATTAAGATGAAACAAGTACTGAAATTTTGGGTAATAATTCAATATCAGTATTCAGTACCAATCAATAGACGAAAAATTCAACTCCCAATAATCGGGAACGAGTTTCACGGATCGTTGATACTCTGCACAGAATGAACCCTAATTCACCTGCAATTTCATACATTTATCAGAAAAAATAAAATTACCGGTCAGAAAAACGCCGTCCACAGCGGTTCGCCGGAACGGTGACGTCACTCTCGTTTCCAGAGCACCAAGTTACAAGGCGGCGAACTGTAGTCGATCGGAGTGGTGCGGCAGATCGGAGGCAATATTCGCCGGAATAACTGTTTCTCGCTCATGTTGCTCTTCAATCTCAGTGTGTAGTGTGTGGCCGGCGAATCACATAAGTGATTATGCGACACTAATTAATTAATTAATCACATAATTATACGACACTAATTAATTAATCTGAAAATCGGGGGATTGATTTGATTATTTGATGTACATAGAACCTCGATAAATCAATAACTTCGATTAAATAATAGTTTTTTCTCGATCTAGAATGAAAATGTGTTAAATTATTAACTCAATATTATTAATTCAATAATATAATAATTCGTTAAATTAATAGAACTTTTTAATCCCAACTTAATTCATAGAGGTTTATTTGTGTACGAAAAGAATGCTTTATTTTATTTTATTCTATTCTAGAATGGGGATGACCATAATGAATCCCAAATTTTTCTCACTTCAATATCAAAAAAATAAAAAATGAATAATAAATAAGTAATGACTTAAATATCCTTAATGAAAATAAATCTCATACAAATATCAAAAATCTCATTTTCCTTTCTTCAATACCAACACACAAAATCTCTCAAACTCATCTTCTTCTTCACAAATCCCTCAACCTCTTCCTTCTTCTTCCTCTCAACAAACCCTTCTAAAAAATCTCAAAACTAAAGAAAATAAAACCTCACAAAACTTATAAAATGGAGTTATAAGACAATAATATGGTAGTATATATGGAAGGAGAACACATTAAGGTAAGTATCGATGTCTTTTTTGAGCTTCGAAGTCAATTTTGAAGTTTTTTTATTGGAACCCGCCGGCAATTTTCGACACATACAGGTCGATTTTTTG